CTAAGCATCTCGCCATTACATTCGAAACACTCCAAAATTCAGCACTCCATACTAAATGGAGTGTTTTAGAACGCAACCCCAGGTTCAGCGCAGTGTGAAAGCCCTTAAAGCAACCTAGGATTAAGTTTACCGGGTTTAATGACCCAGGGTTAACTAGTTGGAAGTGTGAAAGGAAAGCCCTGTTGTGTTTCAGATTCAAGAAGGACAAAGCCAACTACTCCTTAAACACAGATGATCCTACCATCTTTGACGCCGACTTGAACTCAGACTACCAGGTGGCGCAGGAATACATGGGCTTCACTGAAGAAGAATTCAAGAGACTGGTGAGATACAATTTGCCAAAAGCACTCTAATGGAGTCCAAGGTACAAATATCATGGAGAAAATGATTTTAATTATCCCCGTCTGCTTCCCTTCCTACAGAATATCAATGCAGCCAAGTCCTGCTTCCTTCCTGAAAATGAGAAAAAGGAGCTTCTTAATCAACTTTACAAGGCCTATGATATGGCGCAAAGCACCAGCTTTTGAGCGCTGCGCTGTTGTAAACAAGTATGCAGTGAACAGAGCCTTTCAGGGCATTTGCCTTTTCACAAGTGAATGTGGGTCCTGATTCCTTAAAACCTGGAGAACTCATACATATATTTTTCTTAATTTAATAATTACACAAAAATAATAAAGACCACAAAATACAACCCTCCATCAAAGATTTAACCTAAGACGAATGAGTTCATTAAATAAATGTTACGTTTGTCTGTATATTTCATTAACCACTGATTTTCATCTACATGGACATTTTTTCCTCAGGTTTTGCAATATCTGTTGCCTAAACATTAAATATTAGTCTTATTTCATATTTACATATTCACTTTATGCTATTCTCAGTACATGCACAGAATATGACCATAATTAAGAAAAACATGTCAAGCTGTACAATGTATGAAAGGTGCTATGTGAATCAAATGAATTTAGTACCTCAGCTTTTTTTTTTATACAGTGGTAAGAATGTATAAATCCAAAACATCAAACCAGAATATGATCTTATGTATGGTGCTTATCTTATGTATATTGTATAGCCTATGCATTATTCAAACTTTTGGGTAACAATTAAATGACTATTAATATGCTAGTTATTATTAGATGTTAGCGGGACTGATGATGAAATGCGGTGCAAAACCTTTTTAAATTTTTGTCGTTGCCTTGTTCCAACACCAGAGGGCATTTACCAAAAGACGATTCATATAACTCAGGTTTGGAGTTTACCAGCTAAGTGAAAAATATTTGTGTCAGGTTTTACATTTCTTTTGTATAACTTCAACTGCGTAGGAAAACATTAGGACTATATGAATAATGTGGGAAGGATGGGAGTGAGAGCTTTCATTGTATAAACTATCAATACAAATAATTTTACATTTGAATGCTTGTGTGATTCTTGACTTTGGTATGACGAATGTTGTAATGTTATCGTTTCGCTTTTGTCGATGGCACCTTTGTATCCGCATAGCTGAAAACTGACGCTACTTTCATGCTGTTCAAGGTAAACTTGTATCTTAACTGTCACCGTCCCACAGGTGGGACGTTTGCCACTATATTTTTAAAACAATAATATCTTAGTAAATGCCTTAAATAATATTGACAAACTACAGTATATATCATTTGAAAGCTTACAATCTCTAGTTTCCATATTTGGTGACTGATTTTCAAAATATATTACAGAGGAGCCATAATTTATCAATATAAAACAAGAATATTTTCATACTCATAAGGCGTGTTCAGACCTTTATTTTAAAATAGCAGTAAACATGAAAAATCATGAAAAAATGGTAGATACCTCAGTTTGTTTTCATGCCAAAAGTTCAAAAATAGAATCCATTCAATTGTTTTGGAAAAAAAAAGGTCTAAAAAAGTTTGAAATATCAAGAAAAAAAATATAAATTCACCATTTGTGACGTGGCAGCTAGCTATGACTTACATGCATGTTCTTTGTATGTGTTTCTTAGAGGTTCAATTCATATCAAAATCTGCCAAACTTCCCATGCTACTTCTGAATAGGATCTCTACTTCAGAAATTGTATGAAAATTGTGAAAATAATGGTTCATATCACTCAAAACACGAATGGAAATGCAGGCGCCCTTATATGGGCAGTAATGGAGTCTGATTGTGCCCTAGTGAAAAAGTTTGGTACTGCGCTCAAACAAAATCTTACTGAAAGCTCATTTTTTGAGATATCAACCTAAAATTTGAAACACAACTTGTTCAGATTTTTGGCTTTGATCTTTCTGCCATTTTAGAGTAGCCCAGTTTTTGAAAATATATATTTTATGTAAATATGAATAATTAATATTTTTACATTGTACATTTCCATAAACTCAAACTTCTATAACTTTTTTTCCGTTTCACTTTCTTAATTTATTTCAGTTCTACAAAAATCTGCCAAATGTCTTCTTTAAAACAAGACCAATCATATGTCTATATTCCAAAGCATTCTTGAATTACAACCATTTAAGTTCGAAATGTGCATTTTCATGTCTATTCAAAAAAGGGGGGGGTGACAGTTAACAGGTTAAAAGAAATAGAAAAAGCCAGGCCTTGCTTTTTTATTATATGTCCATCTAAAATGTATTTAGACTCATGTTGTAATTACTAAATTAAATGATTAAAATTAAACGATGCTGTGGAATTTGAATCCTAATTGAATTTTTGAAAAGTATAAGTATAATTTCAACTACAATTTATGTTCACATATTTATTTATTTGGCTGGTATAATGATAACCCATTACATATATCATATTTTTCTCAGTGACTGAATGTTCAATGTGAATTAAGACACTGAAAGCGAAATAATGTCATTCCTGTTTATTTTGAGAGTTTGACAAAAACCACAAAACAGTGCCAGGAGCAGTAACTTACTACATAAATATTGTTAATCATGTTACAGTATGTAAAGAAGTATAGAAACAAATCTCTTCAGACCTCAGGCAATATTTGAGAATTCTGTTCTATAATCAGAACTCTTTCAACTGTAGTGGTCATTGTTTTAAAAAAAGAGAATTAAAATTGAGCCATCCATGTCAGGCAGTAACAAAAAGGCTATATTTGGTACTTTATAGTATACAGTAGCTCAACATGAGATTGAACGCTTTAGTTTTAAGTTTAGGTTGGAAAAATATCAAAAAGCCTGTGCTTCTGTTCAACCTCTGCAAGAAGAAAACTACTTTCCCTCACTCAGCGCTGTGAATGAACACAGTCCTTGACGGATTCGCCCCATTTAGTGGTATTTGCAAAGGCAGTGACTTCTCCATCTGTCTCTTAGGCACTCAACAGCATGCAACAGGTGGACGTCCACCTTAATGGCAGTCTATGAGAGGAACTCTTCACTGTTGCCTGATGAGCAAAGATGAGGAGAATTTTGATGAGAAAAGGAGAGAACTCCTCAGCTTTCCTCTCTCCTCCGGGTCATTCTTGATCTTTATGACGGTCCCTCTTTCCCCTGATTGTCCTGGCTCCCAGAGGCCTCTGCATCAGGGGCTGGAGATCCAGAAGCATCTACCTCGACAAGACACAGATGTGACAAAACGTACTGCAACATTACATGTGCACACCCCCAGCTACGCATTCTCGACAGGGTCCTCGTGGTCATGGGAAAGTCTCAGGTTATTTCAGAGTTAAAACGGTGCCAAGAATGTAAGCTAAGGAAACTGGGTCAAATAGAGACAGATGCGTCTCTTATTTCAGTAGGAAAGAGTTGAAAAAGTTCCCATACGAATAGGAAACGGTCAAGGAAGCGGTTATTGTTGAGAGGGCAGATAATAAATCTTTGTGAATGGTGACAGCCTCCATTCAACCTCACCAAACCTATTTGTGTTTAATCTGGACGCTGTGACCTCACAGAGTCGTGTCCTGGATAAAGTAAGGGACATTTTGAAAGAAAAGGCCAGTGAAAGTCTTCGGTTCACATCCTCTTTTGTACACTACACTTGTAATATTTTTGCGTATCTCAGTCTTATCGTATTCACAAAGCAATTCATTACAGGGGCCATACGGCTGCAGTGTTGCATAATAAACACTGGCAGTCAAGAGACATTATCGGTTCTTTTATCACATGAGCAGCACTAGTTGTGCAGAATTACTCATACGGATTACAGTCAGAATACATTTTTAAAAAGTACTGTGTTAAATGTTAAGTAAGGTTAGCTTTCATAGCATCATAACCACTTCATAGTTTTCACTTATTACTTATTTTTTTGTTTTTATAACATGACATTTCATAAACTGTATATCGAATAGATACAATAAAGAGGACCAATGGCAACTCTTTATGGAAATAAATGCAAGACAGATTTAGATTTAACAAAAAAAGTCTGAAATTATTAACGAAAAGTTTGAAATGAAGAAAAAAGAAGAGGAAGAAGGATATGGAGTTGTTGGAGGAAGAGAAGATGTCGATGACTAACGAAAAGTTTGAAATGAAGAAAAAAGAAGAGGAAGAAGGATATGGAGTTGTTGAAGGAGGAAGAGAAGATGTCGATGACAACAAAAAAGGAGAAGGAAAAAGAGGATGGAAAAGGAGGAAGAGACTAAGAAGACAAAGAAGATGATTATGAAAAAGTAAGGAGGAGGAGGAGGAGGACAACTCTTAAAGGGATACTCCACTTTTTTTGGAAATAGACTCATTTTATAACTCCTCCAGAGTTAAACAGTTGAGTTTTACCATTTTCGAATGTATTCAGCCAATTTTCTGATATTTAGAAGAATATCAGTAACCAGACAGTTTCTGGTCTCATTGACTTCCATAGTATATTTTTTTTCCTACTATGGAAGTCAATGAGACCAGAAACTGTCTGGTTACTGACATTCTTCTAAATATCAGAAAATCGGCTGAATGGATTCGAAAACGGTAAAACTTAACTGTTTAACTCTGAAGGAGTAATAAAATGAGCATATTTCCAAAAAAAGTGGAGTATCCCTTTAAGGAAAAGGAGAAATGTCAATACAGGTGCTGTCTTGAAAGATGAACTGAAATGCTCTGTGTGTGACGTACCTGCAGCTTTCAGATCCATCTGAGCCATGTCTTTGGTTAGTTCACTGGTCCCCACCACTACTGTCTCTCCTTTAATGTCTGGCACCGCGTTCCTGCGACCTGTACGATCACAGTTTATGAACTCTGAATATGACGCCTCAACGTCCATCATCTGCTCACAAACTGCCCTCTCATTACACCTAAAAGACACAAAAAAACAGACAAAACGATACATCATTTACGGTCCAGAAAGAAAGAAATCAACCAACAGTTAAACAAAAAAACTCTTTAAGAACTCCATTTAATGAGCTCTGAAAAGAAATCCTGACAGAGAAAAGCTGTGACTCTCTCTCAGTTCAGTAATGCCCATGACAGAACACTCCATCTGATGAATTGGAGTAATTATTACTTCAGGGGCTCTATTTCAACACTAAAGTTAATAGATTCAGCCACTGAACTCATTTCATGGCCTAATTATATAAGAGAGCTAAAAGCACTCATCCAAACGTGGACGCATTCGTCATTCTTTTCATGCTTGTTTACACTCCGGGTTTCTTGCGAGTATCAGTGCAAGCTTGCGAAATGGAGCCTTTTTGGCACGTAAACAAGAGATAAAACCCAAAGCGATCGATTAGACACTTTTTGGAGCTCATCAAACAGCTTTCAGAAGGAGAGTCATAGGTGGGCATTATGCTAAGAGAGGAATCCTCCTGGATAATGCATCCAAAAACACATTAGCTACTCACTCACTAAGTTTCTATTTACTTTTAACCAATGCTCCTCATAACGTCTCAAAAGCAACACTAACGTTACTTCTTAAGGTGCTACTCAAAAATAATCTTACATCAATTCATTTCATCTCCGAAATGCCTTTCCTTTTTTGGCTGAGATCTCCAACCACTTGCCATTTGGAGACAACTTTAAGACCCAATCAATTCACTATGGATAAAATCAAGTTCAGTCTTATCGCATATCCTGTTTCACTCAAAAGGAGTCACATTGATGCAATTTATGACTCTAAATACCACCAATTTGTACAGCTGGTCTGTCTGAAGAGATGGGACAACAGAAGAAGGAATATTCCAGAGGAATGTGAGAGGGCGAGGGAAAGACGACAAATACAAATAAATGTGATGCTATATGTTGGAAGCAGAGGGGGAGGTGTGACGTGTGAGGAAGCAACAGGCAGAGAAAATTACAGGGTAGAAATCTTTGTCTTCACTGCTCATCCCTCCTTCCCTTGAATCACCTCTCTCCATCCCTGCATTTCTCTTTTCATCCTTCTACCCTCCTCTTTTTTTCTTTCTTTTTATAGTTCTCTCTTCCTTTCTATTATTCTCAAATGCTCCAGTAGCGTCAAGCAAATTGGGGGTGTAGGAACAGTCTGAAAAGTGGGAGGGACTTTTATCTTGAAAAGTAATGATTATATCCCAAAATGTGGGGAGCTGAACATAGAGATTTCTATAAAGAGCAAAGGATGCCCATGTCAGAATGTGTAGAAGTTAACTCTTGGACAACAATTTTGTGGAACAAATTGGGTCAAAGTTCGGCTGGTTCAGTTCAGTCAGCCCCTGCTAGATGATGTAACCACACTATCTATTGATGGTCATTTAAAGGGGTGGTTGACTGCGATTTCACTTTTTTCATTTTAAATAGTATGTATGTAATGTTGCTGCATGAACAGTATCTGCAAAGTTGCAGCACTGAAAGTTCAGTGTAAGTAGAGATATCGTCTTTTAAAAATCAGAAAGTTTAATGCCAACAAAAACGACTCGAATGGGACTACAGCGGGTTTTATACGTAACTAACCCATACATTTGCATCAACCCTCCCTCTGGAATATGCAAAAAAGAGCAAGGCCATATTTCTGCGGCTCGTCGAAAGTGTGTTATGTTCATCCAGCTGTCAGGTCTTCTGTGTTTGGGCTTCCCACGGACGTTGTAGTTCATCAACAATGGATACAATTTATGTTTGATTATGTTCCTGAAAATTACAATCGTAATTTATCTCTCTGTGCTGCGCATTTTACGAAAGACAGCTTCCACAATCTCCACGAGTTCAATGCCGGATTCAACAAGAAACTGTTACTAAAACATGAAGCAGTTCCAACTTTAAAACCAGAGGCAGCAGATGTTGGGCCACAACCTGTAAGTAGGCTAAATAATTTAAAATGTTTTTGCATGTATAATTTCAGACCTAATGTTTTAGTTTTATCAAATGCCACTTAGTTATGCTATTTCGTGTCTAAAACAAACGCGTTCAAACATTTTGGACCTGAATTTGTATATGTACTAATTTTGTAAATGTATTTTTTTGTATTTATACTTTATGATGTTATTTTTAGATTTGATTAAGAACGTAAACCAGTGCCAAAGCTGTTTGTGTATATACAGTAGTAGCCAGTCAGTTCGATGCTATTGTGTAAAACAAATGTGTATATAGTTGGAAAAAAAATATAGGCAAATTACCATTCAGAAACGTTTTGTAAGAGCCGTGTGAGGTGAGGTTCTGCTTGACTCTCTTCATCGTCGCTTTCTGGGTCTGATTCTGGCTCATACTGAAACTACAGTATTGATACCATTATTTACATTTGACAGGAACACATATGCAGCTTTCGCCCGTAAAGGTAATGGACGTGAAGTATCCGGACAACGTGCACTATACAGTTTAGCCAATCACAACACACCGGCCCAAACTAACCAATCTGAACTCACTGCCTGTTTCTGAGGGAGTGGTTTCATAGAATCAGGAAGTCAACCGGTCGTAGGAAGTCCAAATGACAGAGGAGAAAGCGGCTTACGATAAAAAGGTGAAATTGATGAAAAATAAGACTTTTTAAAAAAGAAAAACTACAAATACATGTTATATTGCACACCATAAACACAATCATGCAAAGAAAAAAAAGCAGTAAACCACCCCTTTAAAGTAGCCATGTATTACTTAGCACAAACTCTACTACCCGAAGGAACTCAGCAATGTTCAAGGAAGCTCCACGTGGCTATGGTTTACATAATTTAGCATCACAATGAAGAGGATCTGCAGTGTTTTCCTGAACTGTTTGCCACTATATCCCAGTCTGTGCACATTCAACACTGGCCAATGTGTGTTTTAGCAGGCTGAGACATCCACATAACGTCAGCCAGCACCAGCATGTCAGTTACCTGATACTCCCAACCTCATTTTCACCCAGGACCTTGAGAAGTGTGAGCCAATTTCACTTTCATGCAAACTTTGCTGGCGTGTTCTCCAAATATCAACCTGTTTATGCAGCATCTATAATTACAAGCACTCACATGTCCTAGGTAAAGCAGGCAGATTTGTATTGGTGTGACCCAATTCAGCAAAGGTCAGGCTGGGGTCACAGCCGATAAAGAAGAATTTGGAACAGTGGCCTGCAGAGAGCCTGACTCCCCAGTGAAGAGACAAACTAAAGAAAGAGTCACACGAAGTGCATAAAGGCTTTTAAAGAAAATCTTCCCCAACAAAACACAAGCTGTGCTCTATTGAAAAGTGCACATAATAAATGTCTTTTCACAAACGTTTAACACCAAGTTGATGTCTGACAACAGTGTAAAATTACTGTGCTACTGGGACACCAAAATGAATTGCAAAAGTAGGCCTTTAGGGGGGAAAAAGTATTAAGGTTTCCACAAAAATATGAAGCAACATAACTGTTTTCAACATCGACCAATGTTTTTAAAGACCACCTATCATGGATTTTTGAAAATGACTGTTCATGTAGTGTGGAATATAGCTTAAGGGAATGAAAACATCCTGCAAAGATTTATATCTGAAAGTGCACCGTATATAAAGTTATTGTCTTTCAAAAGTGAGAGTCGACTCTGAGTCTATGAAATGAATTGTTTTTGAGAAGAGTCATTAGCTGTTTCGTCGTGACGTAGATACAAAACATAAGCATATTGGCCACGCCCAGTTACTGCGCGCGCAGACGGGAGTGTAAACTTGAAGTCTAGTCTAGAACACTTTCAAAAACTTCAGCTGAATAGCGTCATGTCGAGAAGACGCTGTGTTCTACATTGCAAAGACAGTTCAGCCACTTGTTTTCATTGCCCAGGGACGAGCATGTGAAGAACCAGTTGTTAGAGTTCATATTTGCAACGATACCACAACAGTATAGCCCGAACCTTGTGTTCTCATCATTTTAATGACGAATCATTCGAAAACATACATGAATTCAAATGTGGATTCGCAAGCCGGTTGTTCCCGAAGGAGGGCTCAGTATCCAGTGTATATGGATCAGGTTCGTCCTCCTCCGAATCAATCTGTAAGTAATATTAATAATGTTTGCTGTTATGTTTTCTGTAGCATGCACAATATAGTTATATTGTGTTGTGTGTGTTGTGTATACTCCGCGCAGCTTCTAAGCGGGGTAAAGTTAGTTTTGTTTTTGATATTCACCAGACATTCATTAAAAAATGGCAATTACCTCCTAAATGACTTTGCCAAATATGACTTCGCTCTATATAACAAGCATTGCCCCTCAAAAGCCCCAATGTGAGTTTCGCCGGGAAAGCTCGGTCTTGACGGAGATGCGAGTAAGGGACAGTGTGGAAAGGGCACTTTTTCCTGACACGTTTGATCAAACACTATATACAATTTTCAACACTTGACAAGCTATAATCCTAGTTATGGGCTTTCTGTTGCTGACAATCTCTGCCTACGGTTTACCAATAACAACTGACTGGGTCATTTGACCAATCGCCGCAGATTCGCGTCACTCAAAGGAGGTGTTTGGGAAAATGAATCGTCGAACGAATCATTTGGGAGTCGTTGAACGTTAAACTGTTTTTGGGAACTCCCAAAACAAAAATAGGAACATTTCAAATGCTATGATAGGGGCTCTTTAAACACCAAATCTGCATTTATGAAGGACCGTGTGACACTGAAGATCCCAAACGTTTGAATGGTGTATAGATTCACATTTATTTTTCCATTTAGTTATAATTATTTTTCATAGTATAGTTAGAATATATCTAATACCAAGTGCCCAATAGTTCTCCAGCCCGGAAATCCTTATATAAAAGTTTCTATATTTAGTGAGTTTATCTGGCAACAGGGGGCCGTTGCTTTGCTTGTCTCAAATGTACAGTGTTCAGTTACTTTCCAGTTACTCTCCCAAATTTCATTACAATAAAGTGACACTAAAGGTAATTTGATATATTTTCCCTTGCATGTGACC